GCGTTGTGTCGGAGTGCGTTGCGTTGCTTCCTCCTCGTCGCAGTGGGTGCACAGGAGGGGCCCAGGTGCCAGGATGATATCATGTTCAGCTCAAGTCAGTAGAACTCGGAGGTTCAGTCTAGGTTCAGGCTAGATTGAGGCTTAGGCTAGGCCTAGGCTTAGGCCAGGCAATGGTGAGGGTAGGGTTTGGATTGCGGCCTAGGCTTAGGCCGAGGCCAGGCTTTGGCTAAAGCTTAGGCTAGGCTGAGGCTGGGGTTCAGGCTAGGCTCAGGCCAGGCTTAGGCTCAGGCTAGGCCCAGGCTTAGGCCAGGCTGTGGTGAGGGTGGGGCTCAGGTTGCGGCCTAGGCTCAGGCCGGGGCTATACTGGGCTCAGGCGAGGCTGAGACTGAGGCTGAGGCTAGGCTTCGGCTTAGGCTACGCTAGACTAGGCTGAGGCTTAGGCTGTGGGTGAGACTGAGGCTTAGGCTACGCTTAGGCTTAGGCTAGGTTGAGGCTTAGGCTGTGGGATCGGCTGAGGCTTCGGCTAGGCTTAGGCTGAGGCTAGACTTAGGCTGAGGCTTAGGCTGAGGCCTAGGCTGAGGCTTAGGCCAGGCTTAGGCTGAGGCCTAGGCTAGACTGAGGCTGAGACTCAAGCTGCGGCTTAGGCTTAGGCTATGCTTCGGCTGGGGCTTAGTCTGCTGCTTAGGCCAGGCTAGGCAGAGGCTTAGGCTATGCTTCGCCTAGTCTTACGCTGACGCGTAGGCTAGGCTATGCTGAGGCTGAGGCTTAGGCTGAGGCTTAGGCTGAGGCTTAGGCTAAGCTTAGGCTGGGCTGAGGCTCAGGCTCGGCGTGAGCTGGGCCTAAGCCATGCTGAGGCTGAGGCTGAGGCTGAGGCTAGGCTTGAGCGGATGTTCGGCTGAGGTTAATTCTTGGGCTTAGGCTAGGCTTAGGCAGGCTTAGGCTGAGGCTTACGCCGAGGCTTGAGCTGAAGTTTGTGCGAGGCTCACACGCACGCACCAACGCTGCCCCCACCCCCCAAGGCGCGGCGCTCGGCCCGAGCAGGGCCCACAGCGGCGGCCCCCGCGCGCCCGCCGTGCTCGAGTGGCCCAGCATGGCCCTCGCGCGGAGGGGGGGGGGGCAGACGTGCTTCGCTGGGCGCCCGCAGCAGCGGCCGCTCGCCCACATGACCCGGACCTCCTCGGGCCCCAGGACCGTCAAACAGCAGCTAGGGGTAAAAACTCGGTCTGACAGGGGTCCAGACCTCTGGGGGCCTATGTCCCAATAAAAAAACATGACGTTACCCCTTTTGTTTCTCCTCTTCTCAGATCAGATATTCCCAGACGAGTATCCTCCTTTTCCACCCATGATCCTCCTCATCAGCATCATTGACATCAGCAGCAGCATCATCATCATCATCATCATCATCATCATCATCATCATCATCATCGTCATCATCATCATCATCATCATCATCATCAGCAGCAGCATTTCATCATCATCATCATCATCATCATCATCATCATCATCATCATCATCATCATCAGCATCAATACTATCATCAGCATCATCATCATCATCATCGTCATCAGCATCATCATCAGCATCATCATGATGATGATCATCATCAGCAGCATGATCAGCATCATTCTCAGCATCAGCATCATCATCATCAGCAGCAGCAGCATCAGCACCATCAGAATCATCATCACCACCAGCATCATCACCACCAGCATCACCACCAGCATCACCACCACCACCAAAGTTATCGTCGTCGCCATCGTCATTATCATCATCATCACCATCATCACCATCATCACCATCATCAGCATCATCGTCATCATCATCAACATCCTCATAAGAATCATGATCGTCGTCATCATCGTCATCATCGGCATCGGCATCATCAGCATCGTCTTCATCTGCACCTTCGTTTCGTCATCATCATCAACATCATCATGCTCATCCGCATCATCATCATTATCATCATCATCATCAGCAGCAGTCTCCTCCTCCTCCTCATCATCCTCATCATCATCACAGTCGACGTCACCATCATCATCATCATGATCATCATCATCATCATCATCATCATCATCATCATCATGATCATCATCATCATCATCAGCATCATCATCATCGCCATCAGCAGCATCATATGACCAGCATCAACAACACCATCATCATCCTCACCATCAATCACAACATCAGCGTCAACATCAAACAGAACAACAAAAGCAGAAACCGTCATGTCAAGACTGTGCGCTCGAATCTGCTCGCGTGAGCATGCTCTTCGTCTTCGATCGCACCCCCTGGGGGCAGATCTTCCCTACCTGCCGCGTGTGGTTGGCGCAACCCCTAAAGCAAGGGACGAGAGGATGGAGGAAGGCAGGGACGAGGGGGGAGGCAGAAGGACGGAGCACGAGAGAGAGTGGCAGGAGGGGGGCCGGGAGCAGAAACAACGTGGCAGAACCAGGCGGAAAAATCAGGCGGGTAGACGTAGACCCTGTCGGGCGGGTCGAGACGGCGGGCGGTCGGGTCCAGCAGGCGGGTGGCTGGAGCGTGCGGCCTGCACACATCGCGGGGAGAGTCTCGAGCGACAGCGCGAGCCCCAAGCAATTCGCAAGGAGATGCCGAAGCGAGAGCCTGATTCCTGAGTGTCGAGGGCGCGGCGTTTGAATACATTCCAGATGTCTGCAAAAATTGTGAGGACGTCCGGCGCGAGAGCGCAAGTTTGAAATAAATTGTGACGAGGTATCAGGCTGGAGCCGTGGTTGATAAGGCGGGGCCAGGGGCCCAGTTGGAGCCCCAAGACTCCCCCTTGTAAGAAACAGAATACGAGCCCTGGGAAAAGCACTCTAATTGAAAAATACACTGGTCGCTGGAGGGGGAATCAACACCAGTTATTCTTCACGACTGAGATCCCAACAACAACCACAACAACAACCACCACAACAACCACCACCACAAACACCACCACAACAGCAATATTAACAGCAGCAGCAACAATAAGAACAGCAACAGGCTTAGGCTTAGGCTTGGCTGGCTTAGGCTGAGGCGTAGGCTAGGCGTGGGCTGGTGCTTAGGCTTAGGCTGAGGCTTGGGCCAGGCTGAGGCAATGCTTAGGCTGAAGCTCAGGCTAGGCTGAGGATGAGGCTGAGGCTGAGGCTTGGGCTAGGCTCAGGATAGATGATGGTTGAGGCTTAAGCTAGGCTAGGCGGAGACCAGGCATAGGCTTAGGTGCAGGCTGAGGACGGCGGTGTGAGAAAGAGAGAAGGGGAGGGGAGGCAACGCCGAGGAAGAACACAGCGGGTATGTCGCGCCGATGCCAGCAGCAAGCAAACGACGCGCCCTGCCCCCCACAGAACAAAAAACCCAAAAGTGAAGGGGGGATTCGACTGTTGAACCCTGTCAAACATGTGTCAGACGTGCGAGGCGCGAGAGCCCCATTCTCAAAACGGCCTGGCCTCCATCAGCTTAACACTGCTGGAAGCATCCGGCCTCAAAGTCATAACTGGCGAAGACACCTCAGACGAAACGCCCGGCCCGCCTGGCCGACTGGTCTGGTGATGAGACGAATGGGGCGGACGAGGAGGATTGGGGAGTACAGGTAGGATAAGCGGGAGGATCAGCAGTGAGGATGCTGAGATACACGTGGCGGGCGAGGGGAGGACGCGGAGGAAAGGTAATGACGCTGCGACAGAATTAATGCATAAGGAACATGATGATGACGACAACATGTGCAGAGCGCGAAACGGGGGGAAGCAATCCATCTTTTCAAGCATGCTCCGCTCTGGCAGCCTGGCGCGGCAACCCCAATGCCAGCGCGCACGCAACATCCGAATTGCTGGATTACCCCATACACACAGAAGCTGAAATGGTGCAGGGTAGCAATCAAGAGCTTTACAAAGGAGCAGGCCAGCATGCAAAGACAGAAGCGAACCCACATCGTCCACCACCTCATCCTCCTGTATCATACCTCCTCATGCCTCCCTTATCCTTCATCCCTCCCCAATCCCGCACTCACCTTGCCCCATCCCCCTTTCTCATCCATCCTCAACCCTCCATGAGGGGAGAGTTAGAGGATATTGGAGGGAAGAGGGATGCATGGCGGAGTGGGAGGGTGAAGAGAGGAGAGGAGTGACAGGGGGAGGGGAGCAGAAGTCAGCGGAAAGGAGCGGGAGTGGGGGGAAGGGGGAGGGAGAAGGGAATCGGCCAAGGAGAGGGGTGCAGGGAAACGGTGAAGGAAGGTGTGGAGGAAGAGAGGAAGACTTGCGCGCAGCCCCCCGTAGCACAGACAGTCCCCATGCAGGCGACAGGAAGGGAGGCGAAAGGGTGGGGGCAGGACGAGTAGAGGCGGGCAGGACGGGAAGAGGAGACCAGCGGGGAGACACTTGACACGCCCAAGCTGGGCAACGCATCGGCGGAGACGATACCCGACATCCTATGCTTTCATCTGAAACGTTGAAACCGACGGCTGTGGAGCAGACGGCACACGCGATTCTACTGCCAATGCTGCTCATCACGGTCCCCCTGTCGCTTCATCGTGAATGGCCATTTGACGGTCCCAGGGCCCGATATCATATGGAAGTGGAGAGAGGTCCAACGCCTGCGCGAACCTCCCGCTCCGTTTCTTCACAACGCGAGGGGGCCTCTCTTCCTCACACCGTCTCTTCACACCGTTTCTTCACAACGCGAGGGGGCCTCTCTTCCTCGCACCGTTTCTTCACACCCTCTCTTCACCACGCGAGGGGGGAGGCAGCAGAGAATCGGGTCGGGCGAAAGGGGGGGATAGCAAAGGGGGGGTTTGAGAATCAGCTCGCGTAGCTGATTTCCCGGCGCCTCCCGGCGCCGGAGGCGGCTATGTATCGAGGAATGGGCCCCTAGGTGAAGCCGAAACCAGCTGCATGCAGCAAATTTCGTAACCCCCCCTTTCCCAATCCCCCCCTTTCGCCCGGCCCGAGAGAAGTGGGGCGGGAGGCGGGATCTCCCGCCCTCCGACGCGCGCGCGGACGGCGCGGCACTCAGGCCCCCGCCCTCCTCCCGGACCGCCCGGGGCCCGCCCGCTGCGGGGCGCTCTGCTGCTTCGCCTCGGCCCGGGCCTCTGCCTGCGACCGGCCGGGAGCGCCCCCCGGCCCCCCTTGGACCTCGCCTCGTACTCCTCCTCCCTCCTCCCTCCTCCTCCTCCCTCCTCCTCCTCCTCCTCCCTCTCCTCCTCCTCCTCCTCCTCCTCCCTCCTCCCCTCCTCCTCTCTCCTCCTCCCCTCTCCTCCTCCTCCTCCCTCCTCCTCCTCTCTCCTCTCCTCCTCCCCCCTCCTCTCTCCCTCCTCCTCCTCCTCCTCTCCTCCCCTCTTCCTCCTCCTCCTCCTCTCCTCCTCCCTCTCCTCCTCCTCCTCTCCTCCTCCTCCTCCTCCTCCTCCTCCTCCTCCTCCTCCTCCTGCAGGTGTACCCGGTGGGGAACCGATGCCCTAGAGGACCCCAAGAGGCGGTGGACACGAGTAGTCTCGGGCCCCGCAGGGGCCTCAAGGTATCCATATCCACCAGCTCCTGGGGCCTCAGGATCTCGGTTCCTCAGGCGGCGGACAGGTACAAACTCCGACTCAAATCAAGGATGTCTGAAAGCCGGACATGCAAATCTAGGAATCCAAAAGATGTGTGAGGAGCCGGAGCCAGTACGGAAGGGTCAGGAGGACGCGTGAGGGTTGATCCAGAATGCTCTGAGAAGATTGGGATCGAGTCATTCGTACCTTCAGGCTGCCTGATTCCTGCTGCCCCTCCTCCTCGAAGCCTCGCCCCTTAGAGAGGAAGAGAGAGCCGACTACACTGCTCTCCCGGCCAGGACCCGCGCGGAAACTGGCGAGGACACAGCTGGGGCACAGCCAGGGCCAGCTGTCTCAGCCGCACACATCCGCGTCGGCAAGGGAGCCCTGTGCCCAGGACCAAACGGCCCCAGAAGAAACCAAGCCATGGCCTTCACACATCTGGTGCAGCTGGTCAGCCCTGAAAACCCCGACAACAACGACGTTGGACCCCCTTCTGGGTCTGAGGTTGCTTCCGCTGGATTCCCTCCCCAACGTTCGCCCATGTTGACCAGAGGCTCCATCCGCTGGTTCCCCTCCGCTGGCTTCCGCCGAGGGGTACGCCCAACCCTTCGCTCCCTCGGGGAGCAGGCCCCTCACAAAAATGGCTCCTACATGCGCCGACGTGTGTGTCGAAATTGTGATGCCCGATAGGACCCCGGGCGGTCCCGAATAAGCCCTCCTGAGGACTGGTGCGACGTCACAGCCGCGCCACGCTACAGTGATGCAGCGATGCCTCAAGCGGTCCTGGGAAAAATCGATGCTGCGCTGGAACTGAGGCGGCGCCAACCACGCTCGCATCCGGATGTGTGCGTGCAGGCCCTTGTGGCGTACATAGTGCACGTGGTGCGTATAAGACGCACTTGCGGGTCCCATGTGCAAAGCGCCCAACACCAAACAGATGCCAACCCAACATCGGGGCCGACACCCAAGAGCCCGCACGCATGGGCCCAATTTACTCCGTGGCAACTCCACAGCGGCTCTGGGTAACGATCTCGCCCTACTTAGTCAATGATCGGTTTCTTGCTACAGGGTGTGAGCTCAGTGAGGGAGATGCTTAAGTTCCACAGGTCATCCAGAAAACAAACGACGACAAAGACGGACTGACTGACCTTCCACCACTCCAGACGGCGATTGCCTACTTCAGCCTGGAATCCCTTTTCTTGTGTTGGGATGGGAGGGTCTTCTGGTCGCCTGTGCCTTGGCGTCCGCTACGAGCAGGGACATGATCCTAACCAGGAGGTCCTGCAGCACCGCGGGCACCTTGGTGATCTGCGGGTCCTTGACCAGCGCCAGCAGCTCCTCTGGGCTGTTCATGAGCTGCGCCATGATCCCGTCGCGCACACTGGCGAGAGCGAAGTCCTCGCAGGCCAGAAGGCGATCGAGCACGTTGGCGGAGGACAAGCCCGTGGCCAACCATCGAGAGGCCAGGCCCTGCAGCTGGTCGATGCAGAAACGCTGCGCCAGGCGGAGCACGTCACGATTGGCGGCATCGCTGCTCGGTGCGTAGTCCGTGCCTGGGCAGTATATGCAGTCCAGCATCGCCTTCACGGCCTCAGGGTGGGATATGTCGGGGAGCTGCACGACGAGGGACTTCGGCTCGGCGCCGCTGCCGTACCACTCGCTGGAGCCAAGCTTGGTCAGGACGTCGTGAAACTGGGAGCTGACCGCCGCCAGCGCGCTCCGGTGCGCCGGGAACGACTCCCCAGCCACGACAAGGACCACGTCGCAGAGCTCGCCCTGCTCGTACAGGGAGCGCAGACCAGCGACGACGCGACCGGCGTGGTCGTCGCGAGACATCGGTCCCAGGTCGACATTGAGATCCATCGCAGGCCCGGTCTGCGGCGCGAGATGCGGACAAAGGGGGTGTCAGGGGAGGACCGAAAGGGGAGAGGGAGGCCATGGGAGGACCCAGTGGAGGGAAGGCCACACGAATGAATCTTACCCCTTCCCGCCCCCCTCCTTCTTCTCCCTCGCAGTGCCCGCTCTCCCTCCCCCACAGACAGACATCTCCCCCTCTCACACAGCCCCCTTTTTCCCTGTCCCTTGCCCCCGTCCCAGCTCTCCCCATCAGTACCCCCTTCCTCTGTCTCTCCCTTCTCCACTCTGTCACTTCAGCTTCATGCTCCCTCCCTCTCACACTGCCCCCATACAGCCCTGATCCTTCCGTCCGCCTCCCAGCTCCCATGTAACAATCGAGGCGCTGAGGCGCCACCCCTCCGCCCGAGAGTGTGCCAGACGCTATCGGTCGTTCCCTGAGGTCCTGCACCTAATGTGCCCCCCTGCAGTTAGGTGAATACTCTTGCCGGTGAAATGCCTGACGGATTATGTGTGTGTTCGTTGCTGGGGCGCGGGTCGCTCTACGACAGCCCACCCTTCTTGCCGGCTTTGTCTGCTTGGATTAATTTCCCACGTCAGAATTGGGTGCTGGAACCCACGCCGTGGGCTGCTGGAACCACTGCCCCTCGTAAAAAAGTTGGGTGCTGAAGCCCACCCTTCTTGTCGGCATAAGCTGCTGGAGCCACCTTTCCTGGGTACACATTGGCGCTGGAACCTCGCCCCGCTTCGGGCTCTGAAATGAAAGTTGGCCAGGGGGAAGGGGGATGGGACGGGGCCCTGCTTGGGGTGGGGGGCCTGGAAGTATAGGCATGCCTCGATCTCAAACAGAGGTAGTTCGCGTGCACGTGCAGGCGCGTGCCCGAACGAGCCCGAGCCCGTGCCCGAGCCTGGCTGGGCCCGGGCCCGAGCCCGGGCTCGAGACAGGTCCTGCGCGTGTGCGTGTTCGTGTGCGTGTGTGCGTGTGTGACTGCGTGCTTGTGTGCGTGCGTGCGTGTGTACGTGTGTGCGTGTGCGTGTGTACGCGTGTGCGTGTGTGCGTGTATGGTGTGTGTGCGTGTTCTGTGTGTGTGTGTGTTTGTGTCTGTCTGTCTGTCTGTCTGTCCGTCTGTCTGTCTGTCTGTCTGTCTGTCTGTCTGTCTGTCGGTCTGTGTGTGCGTGCGTGCGTGCGTGCGTGTGCGCGTGCGTGCGTGCGTGCGTGCGTGCTCTCTCTGTCTGTCTGTCTGTCTGTCTGTTTGTCTGTCTGTATCTGTCTGTCTCTGTCTGTTTCTGTCTGTCTCTGTCTGTCTCTGTCTGTCTCTGTCTGTCCTTGCCTGTCTCTGTCTCTGTCTCTGACTGTCCGTCCGCCCGTCCGTCCGTCCGTGCGTGCGTGCGTGCGTGCGTGCGTCCGTGCGTGCGTGCGTGCGTGTGCGTGTGCGTGTGCGTGTGCGTGTGCGTGTGCGTGAGCGTGTGCATGCGCGTGCGTGTGCGTGTGCGTGTGCGTGTGCGTGTGCGTGTGCGTGTGCGTGCGTGTGTCTGTGCTTGTGTTTGTGTGTTTGTGTGTTTGTGTCTGTGTGTGCTTGTGTGTTTGTGTGGTTGTGCGTTTGTGTGTTTGTCCGTGTGTGTCTGCATGTGCGTCTGCGTCTGCATGTGCGTGTGCGTGTGCGTGTGAATGTGCGTTTGCGTTTGCGTGTGCGTGTGCGTGTCCGGGTGCTGTGCGTGTGCATGTGCGTGTGCGTGTGCGTGTGCGTGTGCGGGTGCGGGTGCGGGTGCGGGTGCGGGTGGTGGTGCGTGTGCGTGTGCGTGTGCGTGTGCGTGTGCGGGTGCGGGTGCGTGTGCGTGTGCGTGTGCGTGTGCGTGTGCGTGTGCGTGTGCGTGTGCGTGTGCGTGTGCGTGTGCGTGTGCGTGTGCGTGTGCGTGTGCGTGTGCGTGTGCGTGTGCGTGTGCGTGTGCGTGTGCGTGTGCGTGTGCGTGCGTGCGTGTGCGTGTGCGTGTGCGTGTGCGTGTGCGTGTGCGTGTGCGTGTGCGTGTGCGTGTGCGTGTGCGTGTGCGTGTGCGTGTGCGTGTGCGTGTGCGTGTGCGTGCGTGTGCGTGTGTGTGTGTTGTGTGTGTGTGTGGTTGTGTGGTGTGTGTGTGTTTGTGTTTGTGTGTGTTGTGTGTGCTTGTGTGTTTGTGTGTTTGCGTGGTTGTGTGTTGTCTGTGTTGTGTGTTGTGTGTTGCGTGGTGAGTGTTATGGTTGTGTGTGGTGTGTGTGTGTGTGCGTGTTGTGTGTTGTGTGTTGTGTGTGTTGTGTTTTGTGTGGTGTATGTTGTGTGCTGTGTGGAGTGTGTTGTGCTGTGTGTGGTGGCTGTTGTGTGTTGTGGTTGGTGTTGTGTGTTGTGTGGTGTGTGTTGTGTGGTGTATGGTATGTGTTGTGTGTTGTGTGGTGTGTGCTGTGTGTTGTGTGTTGTGTGTTGTGTGTTTGGTGTTGTGTGTTGTGTGTTGTGCTGTGTGTTGTGTGATGTGTGTTGTTGTGTTGTGTGTTGTGTGTGCGTGCGTGTGTGCGTGCGTGTGTGCGTGTGTGTGTGTGGGTGTGTGTGGTGTGTGTGGGGTGGGTGTGTTGGTGGGTGTGTGTGTGTGTGTTGTGTGTTGTTTGTGTTGTGTGCGTGGGTGGGTGGGTGGGTGTGTGTTTGGGTGGTGTGCGTGGGTGCGTGTGTGTGTGCGTGTGTGCGGGTGTGCGTGTGTGCGTGTGTGCGTGTGTGTGTGTGTGTGTGGGTATGTGTGTGTGTGTGTGTGTCTGTGTGTGTGGCTGTGTGTCTGTGTGTGCGTGTGTGTGCGTGTGTGGGTGTGTGCGTGTGCGTGTGCGTGTGTGTGTGGGTGTGGGTGTAGATGTGGGTGTGTCTGTGTGTCTGTGTGTCTGTGTGTCTGTGTCTGTGTGTGTGTCTGTGTGCGTCTGTGTGCCTGTGTGTGTCTGTGTGTGTGTCTGTGTGTGTGTCTGGGTGTCTCTGTGTGTCTCTGTGTGTGTGTCGGTGTGTCTCTGTGTGTCTCGGTGTGTCTCTGTGTGTCTCTGTGTGTCTCTGCGTGTCTGTGTGTGTTTCTGTGTGTGTCTGTGTGTGTCTGTGTGAGTGTCTGCGTGTGTCTGTGTGTGTGTCTGTGTGTGTGTCTGTGTGTCTGTGTGTGTCTGTGTGTGTCTGTGTGTGTCTGTGTGTGTCTGTGTGTGTCTGGGTGTGTCTGTGTGTGTCTGTGTGTGTCTGTGTCTGTGTGTGTCGGTGTGTGTGTCTGTGTGTGTCTGTCTGTGTGTCTGTGTGTGTGTCTGTGTGTATCTGTGTGTCTGTGTGTGTGTCTGTGTGTGTCTGGGTGCGTCTGCGTGTGTCTGCGTGTGCGTGTGCGTGTGCGTGTGTGTGTGTGTGTGCGTGTGCGTGTGTGTGCGTGTGTTTGTGTGTTTGTGTGTTTGTGTGTGTGGGGGCGTGCGTGTGCGTGTGCATGTGCGTGTGCATGTACCTGTGCGTGTGCGCGTGCTTGTGTGCGTGTGCGTGCGCGCGTGTGTGTGTGTGTGCGCGTGTGCGCGTGCGCGTTCGCGTGCGCAGGCACGGCCGCGAGCCTGAGCCCGAGCCCGAGCCCGAGCGCGAGCGCGAGCCCGACCCAGACCGACCGCGAGCTTGAGACCGAGCCCGAGCCCATGCCAGACCGCGAGCTTGAGACCGAGCCCGAACCCGAGCCCGAACCTGGGCTCGACCCAGAGCTGACCCAGAGCCCGAGCGCGATCCTAAGCACTCGCGTGTGCGCGTGCGCGTGCGTGCGCGTGCGCTTCCGATGCTTTACCATGCGATCAAAACACACCTCCAACAATTCTCAACTGACTGTAGCAGGTGAGAGTGGAAGCCGTTGCACCACCCATCCCCTATCTAGAAGGGGTACGTTGGGAGAGCTGCCTCACGTTGCCCCGGTCGGGGTCGGGATGGCTCTGACGATGATGGTCACTACCTTCCCCGCCTGCTCCACCTCCGCAGGGGGTGTGGGAGAGATCGCCCAAACCCCGCCTTGCGGATAGGGGGGGCAAGGACAGCACCCCCCCTGGCCCTTGCCTTTACGGTTTTTCTTCAGCAGCGAAGCTGCAGCCCACATAGTCCCATAGTGGTGGGCGAGGGGGCGTGGGGATGGGGGGGATCGGGCCCTGCTGACAACCTACGCCCCACCCCCCTTCGCTCCGCCTCGGACCCCCTTGCTGGAGTACGGAGGAACAAAAGGACAAACGGCACAACGGGGTTTGGGCGATCTCTCCCACACCCCCTGGCCCTTGCCTTTACGGTTTTTCTTTAGCAGCGAAGCTGCAGCCCACATAGTCCCATGGTGGTTGGCGAGGGGGCGTGGGGATATGGGGGGGATCGGGCCCTGCTGACAACCTACGCCCCACCCCCCTTCGCTCCGCCTCGGACCCCCTTGCTGGAGTACGGAGGAACAAAAGGACAAACGGCACAACGGGGTTTGGGCGATCTCTCCCACACCCCCTGGCCCTTGCCTTTACGGTTTTTCTTTAGCAGCGAAGCTGCAGCCCACATAATCCCATGGTGGTGGGCGAGGGGGCGTGGGGATGTGGGGGGGATCGGGCCCTGCTGACAACCTACGCCCCACCCCCCTTCGCTCCGCCTCGGACCCCCTTGCTGGAGTACGGAGGAACAAAAGGACAAACGGCACAACGGGGTTTGGGCGATCTCTCCCACACCCCCTGGCCCTTGCCTTTACGGTTTTTCTTTAGCAGCGAAGCTGCAGCCCACATAATCCCATGGTGGTCAGGCGAGGGGGCGTGGGGATATGGGGGGGATCGGGCCCTGCTGACAGCCTACGCCCCACCCCCCTTCGCTCCGCCTCGGACACCCCCTTGCTGGAGCACGGAGGAACAAAAAAGACGCACGGCACAAGCAGAAACTCTCGGAGGTTCGCGCGCTGACTTCTTGGGTCGGCGCTGCAGGCGCCGACAGGGGGGGGGGGGGAGCAGCGCTGACCCCAGAGGCCCCAGCGGACCTCCGAGAAATCGTGTGTGTGCG